AAACAGACGTTTTAATAACACAAAAGACAGCAGCGTCGTGTTCGTGCAAAACATAGGTGGCCCCTGTTGGTCTTGTTATGTCGACTTCGGAAGCGACATACAACAGCAATTTCCTCCGTTAGTGCGGTACCATACCCACACCGATCGTGTTTGAAGCATTTCTAGGGGCGGGAGAACACAGCTATGTCATAAGAGCTACCCTGTAACAATCTGAGAGGCTAGGTCAGCGGCCCAAATCTTCTTTAAACATATCGAACAGGCGGCTTCTTTTCCCTGTATCATACCCACAGCCGATCATAAACAGCAGCCTACTATATAAGATGATTATAGATAGGGAAAACAGAACACACGAGGGACACCAGATAGGAAAATCCACAAATCTTCTTGCGTCCACAACGAAACTAGCCACCCACCAAAAAACAAACAAACAGGAGACGCCGCTGCTTTTTTTTTTTTTTTTACAGACTCGGAAGCACCAAAGAACACAAGAAAAATGACAAAAACCTGACATCGACTGAGAGCACAGCAGATGGCGCGTCGGTCGGGTGAAGTTGTAGTAATTACTTGATGCAGCTGGAGGTCGTTTACCCCTGTGCTTTGGTTGTATATTTACCCGTTTGGTTTACTAATATTGTCTATTTTATGGCACCCCTGTATTTTTCTGTGCTGTTGAATTTATTTGGAATTTGTATCAAGTGCATCTTATAACTTATAATACCCGCTGTGTATATTGAGCATGTTTCAAATAAATAAAAGTCTGTTGAATACCACACGGCGTTGTTCTTATTATTTCAACTATATAAAACACCCTACAAAGTACAAACAGTTGGCTACCTTCCTGTAATAGCCATCCTTTCCCCTCCGGGAATACTGACCAATCAGAATTGACTACTAAAACCCCAGCTGACCAATCAGAACCTTCGAATATTATAAATTCAGGGTACCCATTACTTCCTACCATAAGAGAACCGCGCCCTCTGCCACCTGAAAAAATCACTAATCCCTAAGACTGTGTGGGGAAATGAATCATCCGCCACTTTAACCAACAGCTGGCCCTGCACTAAAGAAATATTTGTCTTTTCCCGAAGAAAATACCCTGGGAGAGACAAAATATCGATGTTTATATGTCTGTTCTCTTGTATAGGTTGAGCGGTCGACCTTCGCTACCATGACATAGATGATGATGCCGGCGCCCAATCTGCCCTTTCTAATACAGCCCCGGTCATCATGCCGCCTTCCTAGTCGCCCCGGGTCCCCTGCCCCCGCTGCTCACCTAAATAGTGTTCCTGCCTGCCCCCGTTTTATATAACGCCACCTGTCACCTGCAGTTATGAAGATTTCCTATACCTTTCCCTAAAACCAATCACTTGTGCTGTCACCAGCCACACGATCGATATTTACTAAGGACAAAGAGGGTGGCTGTCCCGATCGATATTTACTAAGGATATATAAAGCCACACGAACAGACCAATCACTTTTGGCCGCCATCTTTTACTAAGGATAAAGAGAGATCGATTTCTGAAATGCGGCCCGTATTACCGCCTATTACTACTCAGGGGTTGCGAGTCCGACTCGCAATTCCAACACACCGCAATCGAAACCCACTGCTTTCACGGTTAGGGGCGTCGCAGGTCGACCCAGCCTTAAATGGGTACCTGGATGTATGTCCTGGGGAAGTAAAGACGGTCGGCGTAATGCTGACCGTATTCCCCACCTAGTACCGATTGGTCTGTAAAAATATGGGTGCTCTTCCTATGTGCCCGAGGCGCCTAAATGCGTGAAAAGGGATCTTTACTTTACTTACGGCTCATATATCCACGTTTTTGGGCCGTATGGGAGCTTGGGGAGAGGGTGTGAGCCTGAGGATTTAAGGTTTAACAGTTGGAATATCAGTAGGTCTGGACAGACAAAATCTAGAAAAGTAAAGGCGGCCGGCGTGATGCTGACCACATCATCGCTGAGTGCTCAAAATACGTCAAACACTATATACTCAAAGGGCACAAAGGTAACAATAGACATTTTCATACTTTATCGTATGCTCAATATTCAAGTGGTGTAAACAAAAAGAATCCTTTTTTTTAAACCTCCCCCACCCACAGGCTCAGCCTACATCATATGAGAGATTGCCCTCTACAGAAGAGAACCTTACATCCCTGCCACATAGAATAACGCATCTCAAAGGTCAAGACGCATCAGTGAACGGCCAATCATGGTGTCCCTGCGCCCAAAAACGTGAGTTGTACCAAAATTCCTAATCTACATATTTCGTGGCTACTGAACTATTATGCGTCCTCAAATTCGCATTCTCTACTCTCCCCCCCCCCCACCCCACCCGCCTCCGCCTAACTTACATACTAAAATGATAAAATAAGGCATTAATGAGAATAGAGACTTACTTTTATAAGGCGAGTCCCAAAGAGAAAACCAGTCATCGTCAGCTCGTGTCCAAGAAGGCATCGATAGCTGAATCACTGAGAACAGTGTCACGAGCAACATCTCGATATGGCTTATGAGGGGTCTGTGTCTATTCCCTCGTGTTTCTACTCCTGTGTCGGTTAAACACGAAGAGATCTTTCTGGAAGAATAACCTGGAGATGACAGACAACACTTGTACTTCCTATGAGGTTCAATTTTTTCTTCACTCTTCTTCTTCTGCCTTTCTATTCCCCAATGGAGTATAGGCCCTTAACCAACTCATGCCACGTCGTTCTATCCTTCGCCATTGCTTGGAGCTCTCCTCATGTCCTCCCCATCGTTCTAACATCATTCTCCAGCTCTTTCTCCGTGTGTTTTTTGGCCTTCCTTTATTTCTATGCCCCTGTGGGTTCCAATGCAAAGACATTCTAGGTATGCTGTTCTCCTGTTCTCTCAGTGTGTGTCTATCCAACGCCAGCGTCTTTCCCTCACCTCTTGGTCCACAGGGGCCTGTTTAGTTCTCTCCCAAAGCTCTACATTTGTTATTCTATCATACCATTTAATTCCCTCTGTTCTGCGCAGGCACCAGTTAATGAATGTCTGTAGTTTATTAGTAATTGCCTTGGTTGTTCTCCATGTTTCCGCCCCATACAAAAGTACTGATTTGACATAAGAATTACAATTTTTAAGTTTAGCATTTCTTATTGTTTTCTTCATAAATCGTATTACTTTATCTAATTTTTTTTTTTTTAAATTAGTATTGAGAAGTCGGCGTCGGTGGCTTAGGCGTTGCGAATTCGCTTCGTAATGCCGAGGTGCCGGGTTCGATCCTAGCCGCAAGTCTTGCGTTCGTTTCGACAGTGATATCGAGAGCCGACCGTCCATAAAGCAATGGCGAACTACCGGATGTAAAATTTGCCGAAAAAACCACATCAACCAAAACATGCAGGGGTTGGTTCTGCAACGTCCTGTAAAGGATACGCAACTAACTTTAACTTTAACTTTAGGTATTGAGAAAATAGTTAAATATTTAAAAAAAAAGTATTATCTGAATTAATTATTTATATCAATCAAGAATTAACATCACTGCACTTGGGCACCCATGCTTCGAAAATGATGCCATAAACGGACATGGAACAGAAAATGCTTTATACACTCTACCAGCAACGATTTCGGTGACGGGGGATGGTTTAGGAGTGCTAACATTATCTAATACCAAATAGAGAAGTTGGAACGCATAAAAAATAAAACTATTCGAGTCATTTCAGCATTTGTGACCAAACAAGATCACACACGAGAAATTCAGGAGGAGAAAAAAGTGTTCATTACTATTCAAACGTTGTTATTATCAAAGGAAGAAGATAGCAATGGATTGAATATGTTGGCAGAAAAGCACGTGATACTTTGGCAAGGACAGTTACTTAACGACGGTACATATATCTGGAAAAGGGTAGTAGAAAGAGGACTTTATTTTCATTTTTAACTCTCACCAGTTGTAAACTCCAGTGGACAGTTTTTTTTTTTTCGTCCCACTGAAGGGAGAGAGAGAGAGAGAGAGAGAGAGAGAGAGAGAGAGAGAGAGAGAGAGAGAGAGAGAGAGAGAGAGAGAGAGAGAGAGAGAATAGATCCACACGCATGTCGCAAAAGGCTACTAACTGGGATTGTTTGATTCGAAGTCGGCGTGCATCGACCTCGGAGACGAGGAATCAACAGTTTGCATACAAATGAGCCAGATCTGTAAAACTGACATGCGAGCAAAACTGAAGTTCGGGAAGAAAACCTAAATCCAGAAGTGAACGAACGACCAAAACGCTCTGCCGAAATTACAGCCGGTGAACTCTAAAAAGAAGATGAAGAAGACAAACGAAAAAAGCGCTCTACTCAGATACAAAGATAAAATAACATATCTTGAAAAAAACCGACTCAGTGACAACGTGGTAGTGAACAACTTAGAGGGAAATCATGCACAGGGAAATGAGTGAGAAAATGCTGGACAGGTGGATATCATGGTTAAATGTACACGAGACAGAAGGTTGTGGATAAACAAGACAACCACTCCTCACGGCATATCATTGTCGAAATCAACCAAAACATAAAGCGGTCGGCTGTTAAATGACTCGCAGCTGCAATAGAAACGTTATTTCGGAATTACGAAGCGGGTTAACAAACGCCTAAGCCACCCATACAAATACAAATTGTTAGAAAATAAAGATATGCATTGTTAACGAATACATACTGTTATAGATAATATTGTGTTTTTTTTCAAACTGTGTTTAAACTAGAATTTTTTGTTTAAAGAACACAGTCAGACTGCAGTCACCATAAATACGTTTTTCCAGCACATAATGCACAGCTTACAGTAAATTACCTAAATAAAGATCACAAATGAGTCCAAGGTGATTCGAGAAACAAGTACCAACAGAACACGTTCAGCTTTGAACCCGCCAGACAACATTTAACTGTTCGGCGTCATCTGAAATAACCACATGATAGGTGTTTGTCTGTTTTCCCCATGGGGGATTTGTGAGCCCCATTTGTAAGAGGAAACAAACGAAAATGGATTAACTGGTCCCAGATAAGCATGTCATAAAAGGCGACGGAACCTAATTTTGCTAAAATCGTATTAGTGGGACCGAAAGATGCAGATATCGCAGCCTAGCTGTAAAGCACACAACATGCTAACTGTTCTTTTAAGGACAACCAAAGAAGAAGATTCTCTATTTTTTTTTGGGCTATAGCTAAGACCGTGGAAATACATTCAATGTGGAAATCCTCCCCCCCCCCCCCACCCCAAAGAATTCAGTATGTACATGTATACACACATTGGTGCATGTGAATAAGCAACGACTGAACTCTTTGAGAATTAGACAGTTATTAGTTTTTCACTTCCTAACGCAGAATTAGTGAACTTTAGAGCACATCTTTATGCAACTATCTAAAATTGTAAAAAAAATATGGAACATACACAATACTGAAACGTAAGCGCATAAACGTGAACTCAGCACTGCTAAACACAGAATTCATATCCATGCTGTGTTATTGGTGTCAATCATGGACGCTGTCTTCAGAAGACCTTAGACAAAATAGTTACGACAGAAAAGACATGATTACGTACTGTGTTAGGTGTAGGGCTGTACCGAATAGTGATTTTCACTATTCGGCCGACTACGAATACGAATAGTGTATCATCATCATCAGGTGCCTTGCCGACTGGCGTGCGCGATCATGCCTCTCCATAATCTGCGATCTCCTGCAGCATGTATTAGTTCGTGTGCTGACACACCTCCATGCCATGCAACAAGACTGTCGAGAATCTTCTATTACTGTCTTCCTCCATCCCTCCTTCCACAGATCTTTCCAGTGGTCACCACATGTTCCATTTTCCCTCTTCTCATAACATGGCCGAAAAATGACGACTGTCTCCTTCTGATGACTGTGATTAGTTGTCTTCGGGCTCCCGCCTTTTTCAAAACCATCGTTCGCTCCGCCGTTCGTTCGATGTAATTTAAACGCACCTTCATATTCTCGTTAGAAATTTTCTTCAAATTTGATTTGGGCAAAGACACACTGAAAGAACGAAAAATGCTTGATCTCTTTCTCCCCCCCCCCCTCTCTCTCTCTCTCTCTCTCTCTCTCACACACACACACACACACACACACACACTGCGGTTGGCATTTATGCAGTTTGTACCACGCAACCGGGTCGCAGTTCCCCTGCTACGACAGACTTAGGCAACAGCAACGATTGTGTTAATGAGAGAGTTATTTTAGTCCATCGCAGTGTATGCAGAAACGGGTGTAAGGTAACAACTATTCGTATTCGGCCCGACTGTAACTATTCGGCCGAATACCGAATAGTTATTAGGTCCACTATTCCACCCCGAAGCGAATACGAAGCGAATATTCGGTACAGCCCTAGTTAGGTGTGACGAGGAAAGATCAACTTAGGAACGATGATATCACAAGGAGAGTGGGTACAAAACTTCTTCTTCTTCTCGTTCACCAGCTGTAAACTCTTGTGGAAAGTTCTGGTTGTTCGTCCACTTCTGGACTGCAGTCCTGCTTCAGAACATGAGTTGCGTGTGCATCCGTTTGACAGATCTGACTCATTTGTATGCAGATTGCTGGTTCCTTGCTTCTCAGGCAGATGCACGCCGACTTCGAAGGAAACTCCCAATTAGTCGACTCTTACGACATGCTTTTGGGTAGGCAATTCTTGCTTTTCCTATAGTAGGGCCCCGGAACCCGCACAGGGAAGGTACAGAACTAATACTGAACTATGTCGATAGACAACAGATCAACTGGTTTGGTCAAACAGCAAGATTGGCAACAGTTAGGGTACCACAGAAAGCAATGTTATACAAAGGCAATGGTAACAGAATCAGAGTTCGACCACGCAGATATGGACTGCAGATATATCGGAGACACTGAAGAGTACTTTATATGAAGCGAACAGGAGGACCTTTCCCATAAGCTTCTTTATGTCCTGACGCTGCGAAGCATTCCAGTATATATATATATATATATATATATATATATATATATATATATATATATATATATATATATATATATATATATATATATATATTTAATAATACTATTCCACACTTAAAGATGGCTTAGACCCATGGATTATTTATAAAGAGGAAGCTCCTTTAATGTTTTCTCTCTGTCGACGTCACTGCGCGGAACTCTTCAAACACTATAATGGGATGAAATGTTGAAGCAAATATGTCAAAAAGCACATCTCTATATAAGTGGGAAAGGGGGTGGGGGTGGTGGGTAAAATAACATCGATAAGTGAACAATAGAGGTAGTGGAGCATGTGTGCAGCAAATATTTAAATTTAGACCAAACAAACGCCCGTCCAAGGAAGGGGGAAAAAAGTAAAATTAGTTGCATATCCTAGATAGGATAATGAATGTTGTAGAACCACTTCTAGCATTTTTCGCCAGTGTAATTTTTTAGATAAGTTTACGTTCAGTAGTTTGCCATTGCTACTCAACTGTCGGTTTTCGATACCACTGTGGAAACCAGTGCAATCCGGTCTGCTTCAAAATCGCCCTCAGCTGGAATTGAACCTGGCAGCCCGGAATTACAAAGCTCGTTGGCAACCTTACTCCACAGACGAAGAAAGCTTTAACGATAATTACGAGCATGCTTCGTGCAG